GCTGCTGCCAGGGCTTGAGTCAATGGGAGCATCCCTTGCCATTCGAGATGCTCTGAGGAGTACCAAAGTACAAAATGCAGCTTATTTTATTTTCTGCCTGGTTTTCTAGTTAATCAAAGTCCTTTTGTACTGTTCTATACTGGGTATTGGAGGTGGTCTTGCTATTTACTCTCCATTATTAATGTAATGAGATTTGTATGCCTTGTTGAAAAGACTGTAGGTTGTGGAGTTAGGTGTGTTTTTCATTTTTGTCCTTTTGTAAACTGAATCCAAAACAGCTAGATAGTGGTTTCAAAGCCTGTTCTTTGCTTTAATTAGTGCTGTAGGTACAGTTCCCCATGCTGTATGATCTCACTGTTCTCAAATCAAGTAGCTAAAGGCAGTACTTCAGTAAATGTATCAGTTAACTCTATTCAGGATGTTTAACATCCAAGCTCATTCATATATTCACTTTTTTATGTAACTCTTAAGCCAGACTGTGATGCTGATGAGTATTTTCACGTTATAAGTGGTAAAGTTTGCGTGATGTGCTCCCCCATTATCCTCAGCTTGTTTAAACAGGGTGGTCAGCACCCAAAGTGCAGGCAGAGCTCTGCCTCAGGGCAGTGGACGAGCGGCCAGGGTGCAGGGAGAGGACTGGCACGAGCCCTGGGCAGGTGCCCTCAGCATCACATTGTGCTTCCATGATGAGTCCTGCTACTCACCACCTTTCCCTGCCAGACTGTGGCTCGAAGCTACATGGTGAGCTTTGGAAGGAGGGGGAAGCTCGGGGCTGTAAACAAAATCCCAAAATGCCCCAGGCAAAAGACACTTAAATTGATTCATGATGTCTCAATCTGTGTCTCAGGAAAGGAAAAGGTGATGCAAGGCTTGTGTATCCAAGCAACTGCAGAGCCCCTGCTGTTGCCATGGGAGGTTTTATCAGTGAGGCAGTGGTTGAAATTGTCCTTTTCTTATAACTGAAGATTGCAGGGGGAAGGAGGGGTTTTCTAGACAGAGAGACTGTTCCTGCAGAGAGTCAGCAAGGAACAGTCTGGAGCAGTCACACACACAGACACACACAAAGGTCTGATCTGAACAAGAGTGACAGAACTCAGTTATTTCCAAAATATAAATATGAGACCCTCCTGAGGCTCTGCTTTTGGACTGATTTGTCCTACCACAATCAGGCTACAGACAACAAAGGCAGTATTTGTCCTGAATTCATCCGCTCTCTCCCAATTAATCTAATACAGCAGGAATATTTGCTGTGTCTTACCAAGCAGACTTATAAAAGCAAGGGTAAAATGTTGCAGTATGTCCTAAAGAGCAGATGCCCCACAAACATCTTTGTGCAGGAAAAGGAAACATTTCCTTAAACATCCTGCAGCAAACGTGACTGATTGAGCTTCCTTTTCCCTCTGCCTGTTGCATTTCCCTTCTTTGCACAGACAGGATCTAACCAGATTTGCAGGGTATGAACTGCAGGTTACTTTCAAATTCATAACTATGAAATGGTTCGTTTAGCAGGACAAAGGCCAAGCTGACAGACACCCTTTTTCCAGCTCAGCATGTGCACAGCAATGGGAGGGTGGCAAGGAGCTTTTGTTAATCTCAACCCAGCTGGCAAGAATGCTGCGAAATCAAGGCTTTGAAGACGTTTTTTCTTCATTTTTAAAGGTACAGTCTGTTAGAAAAGCTTGAAAATCTTGCAAAAAAAGTAATCTGCAAAATACTGAAAGTCCTCCCTGGCAGTCATGTGACTTAGGCAAATTTCTCCACTTGCAATTAGCCTGGACAGTTTCCTTTACCAGTCATTATTTTTGCAGGTTCTATTCTGCTGCATCTGTGAAAATGTTTTTCCCCAGCTTGAATACACTTTTGAAAAAAAATAAATGGTTGGCAGAAAGGATTAGGGTATTGGTCAGGTTGAGGCTGATCCAAGCAGCAGCAGGATTTTTTTGCCTTTTAGTTTAAACGTGTAGGAATTGAAAGCTTAAAAAGCTTCAAGCTTAGAGCTGTTCTGAAAATAGCTGGGGCTCACACTCCACTTCCTAATGTGCTCACATCACAAGACCAACTGCTGCTACTTGCTCTCTTTTGTCTGGGGTTCAGTGGAGAGCTGACGTGCTGCCTGCTCTGGAGGGAGCAGTCCTTTCTTCTCCCCCAGAGGTGGCCCAGCTCTGCCCTCAAAGGTAGCCCAGGGCAAGGCTGCCCTTTGGGCACCAATGTCACACCCATCTTCCTGAGCCCAAACAATCCAGTGTCTTCCACGAAAAAACAGCATCTCTGCTCAGGGATTGGTTTACATGTTTTTATTTTTATGAGAAACATAAATACAAAATAAAAATAGTAAACAAGTGCTGTAGGCTTTTTGTTGGGGTGAGGTTCAGGCCTGATCCTGAGCAGTTCCAAGCTTTTAAGTTCAGGTCCAGGTCTTTGCTCTTAGAAAACAAATCATAGGGCAAACCAGCTGACTTTTACCTCGAAGCCAGTGCTATTGGTAACAGTAACATCTGGGTTATCTTGTAAAGCACAGCGACAACTAAGAAGGATGAGATTAAATATAAAAACATTTTCAAAGATGGGCCCCACTTCCTGCAGTATTGTTGGGTGCTGCCCCACTGACCTCAGCAAAACCTTGTTCCACCAGCAGTGAGTTATTCTGCCAGGATGATGCTGTGTCTGGCAGCACATGCACAGGTAGCACTGGCTTCTTCCAAGAGCTTTTGTGTAATTGGTTCAGATTTTGGTTACAAGAGGATCCAGCCCTGCCATGACACAAAGAAATGTATCAAGAAGTTTGACTTGTTGAAGAAAATTCCCTTCTAAGGTGTGGGTTTCCCTCCCTCTACCACAGACACCAGTTTTGGTTTGATTTGAAATTCTAGTGCAGCACTGCCCAGAAAGATCTAATCTTTCAGACAGACCCCAAATTCTGCAGCACTTCTGAAGGCTCTGCTCTACAGAGACGTGCAGACACGTCTGTCAGGGGGGTTTAGTTCTTTAACTGGAGACCAAAGAGCGAGGTCCAGGATTTGGGCTGATATCTGTTGGACATCAGAGAGCTCTGAGTGAAGGTGTAGTGTGTCTATGGGCTGGGTGACAAATACAGTTGGACATTATCATTTAAAGTAAAAAATAATCATGAAACAAATAAAGGCACCAAACCACATAGCAAGCCAACTTTGGTAGATTTCTTGCAAAATATATGCATTTAAGTACATTTTTACAAGGTTTACAAGGTTACACTGTTTAAAAAAGTTGAAATGATGAAATATGGAATATTTCATTCTTGTACCAAAACTACATATCACATCATAACAAAAATATTACAGCTTTTATTTAAATGCAGACAATATAAGAACTGCACCTCTTTATAGAAAAAACCTAATTGTAGACATATTGCTCTGCTTTTGTGTTCTCTGATGGGCTCAGACCCTGCTATTTATGTCTTAAAAAACTGAAATCAGTTATCTTTAAAAGGGTAAATCATGTGCTCAATATTCAACATCACAATTTGCAGGGGCAAGGCTTTAGTCTCTCATTCTGGTCTGTGATCATGTTGATACCCCCGGGGTTTTAAGTTTGCTAAGCAAGGCAGGAACACAGTCCATGTCAATCTGTCACAGCCCCACAGTTATGATTAGTCCACCAGTCTTGGAGATATCAGAAAGATAAGAGTTAATGCTCAGGTCAGGTGTGCACTGTACTGCTACACGACTGTGAGGGACCCATGAGGTTGTAGTGTTGTGTTCTGAGGAACATAAACAGCACATTTCCTCACTGGCTCTTGGCAGAAATCTCCTTATGGCAATGCAGAGGCTGCCACGGGCGGGAGCAGGATCCTGTGCTGATGCACAAGTAACTCCTGTGGAGGAGTTTCACACATCCCCCTAGCCCCTCCCTTGAAAAAACGTTTGTCTCTGCAGTGTAAAATGGAGAAGTGTAAGCTGGTATTCCAGGCTGTGGCAAATTTCTGCAGGTGTTGAGCTCAGAAAATTAGAGTTATGTTGCCCGACGTATCTTCCTTCCAGTCTGCAGTGTGTTACTGGGCAAGGCACAGGAGCTGAGAGCTGTGAGAGCCAGGACTTCACATCTCCTGATCAGCTGACATAAAATCTCAGTCAAGATATTTTTGGTAAAATTCTTCTAGCAATTTTTTGCTTGATTTGGTAAATGAAGGAAAGCACGTGTTAACAAAATCGTCGTGGGGAGCCAACCAAGTGCACGTCCAACTGAGCACACAATTCAAAATTGGCAGCAAGCGGGGCTTGGCAAGAAGGCCACAAAAGCATCATCCCCCCAACCATCAGTATCTGGGGCAATTTTTATGCTTCCAATCTCCTGTAGTGCAGATGAGAGGAGCAGAGGCCCTGCTGGAGCCAGGACATAGAGTGATCTCCCAGATCTCTGAATCTAGGCCTCGGATAATTCTGGCAATGAGTTCATATTCAAGTAAAAACAGAGCATAAGCTGATGGAGGAAAGGGGATGAAGACCCTCAAGGGGTAACCTGGTATAATCTGGTTTGTACTCCACTAAAGGACAGCAACCACCTGAAATCTCTTTCAAGGTCTCAAAGACACACAGACCAACTCACTTCTCTGAGGGACTGAAACAAATGAAGAAAGTCAAATACCTTTCTCCAAACAACCAGCGGGATTAAGGATCAAGGTTAGTGACATGCTTTGGACAGGATCCCTAGTTTAGTTGCCCAAACAGAAGATCAAAACCCCCCTACTCAGTTAAAGCCGCAGCGGGAGCCGCCAGACGCGGGCTTTCAGGAGGGAGAACGCGGATGGGAATCTCCTCCTGGGCGACAGCGCACACCCGACGCCGGTCCCAGCAGCCGAGAGGCACCGGCGGCGAGAGCGGGCGGCGAAGTACTCACGGGTCTCGGGGCATCGCCGGGGCACGGCCGGGAGCGGGAGCCGGGCGGGCGGCGGAGCCCGGCCGGGATGTCCCGGTGCTGCCCCGCGGCTGCCGCGCCGCTCGGTCACCCCGGCCGGGGACGCGCTGCCCGCAGCGGAGCGGCCGGACCCGCCGGGCGCTGCCCTGCCCGGGGCCGCCGCTTCACGGGGTGCCCGTTCGCAAGAGCCTCCGGGCAGGGGAGCGCTGGCGCTCCCGGCCCGCGGCCGTGTGTCCGTGTCCCCGCGGGGCCGAGAGCGGCGCGGCCCCGCTCAGACGTAGTTCTTCTTGTCGTACTCGCCGTTGGACGTGGGCCGCCGCGGCGCCGAGTACTTGACGGGGAAGGAGGTCTCGTCGCGCTGGGAGCAGGAGCAGCAGCAGATGAGGCAGCCCCCGAAGAGCAGCAGGGCCGTGGCCGCCCAGCCGATGTAGAGCGCGGCCCCCATCTCCCGCTTCTTGGACGGCGGCACGGTGGGGTCGTAGAAGTCGCTGATGACGATGTTGGCGAACCAGCAGAGCGGGACGAGCACCAGGACCCCGCAGAGGATGTAGATGGCTCCGCCGGCGATCACGATGCGGGACTTCATCTTGCCGGGCCGGATGCAGTTGGTGCACTGCGCGCCCACCACGGTCACCATCAGCGCCACCAGCCCCAGCAGCGCCACGACGACGGTGAGCGCCCGGCCCGCCTGCACCTCGGGCGGCAGCGCCAGGATGGAGTCGTACACCTTGCACTGCATCTGCCCCGTGCTCTGCACCACGCAGTTCATCCACAGCCCTTCCCAGATGGTCTGCGCCACCACGATGTTCACGTCGATGAAGGCCGACACCTGCCACATGGGCAGCCCGCAGGCCAGGATCACCCCCACCCAGCCCAGGATGCCCAGCCCCAGCCCCAGGATCTCCAGCGCCGCCGAGGTCATGCTGCCGTCCCGGGGGCTCCGCGGGCAGGACGGGGCGGGTGCGCTGCGCTCCCCGCGCTGCCGAGCCGGCTCTGAGCGCCGCGGCCGCGGGCAGCGCTATTTGAGGGGCCGCGGGGCGCCCGCCCTCCGCCCCCGGCCCTGCCCTGCCGGGCAGCACCGCCCGCCCCGGGGCACGGGCAGGGCCGGGGGGGCGTGCGGGGCTCCCTCCTGCCCGGGGGGTCCCGCCGGAGCCGGGAACGCGTCCCTCTGCTCCGGGAGGAGCTCGCGGCGACGCTGCCCGCTCCCAGTTCAGCGCGGGGCTGCAGGCGTCTCTTCGCGGAGTTCATCTGCTCGAATTCCTTTCGGTGCCGTTATCTGTGTGTTTCCTATTTACTGATAAAGTCCGCAGCCAGACCTTCGGAGAGGTCTTGCCCCAACGCAGGCACCCAGCAGTGTGGAAGTCCTGCTTATCAGAGTCTAATTGATCATTTCCCAGAACACTAAGCGTGCTGACTGACCTGCACAGCTTTCTCCTGCACACTCTGACAGGCAAAAATAAAAAAGCACGACCAAACAGATTTCACAGATTATTCTGAGTTTGAAGGGACCCACAAGGATCATCAAGTCCAACTCTTAAGTGAATAGCCCATACAGGGATTGAACCCACAACCATGGTACTATCAGATGTCTGTACTTGAAGACAGACAAGCCCCACTAATTCTGACAGAAAAAATACCTTCAAAATACATTTTTTAACTAATTAGTCTCATATTCTCTACTTAAGTGAGATTAAAATAGATAACTAAAATACTGTGGCATTTACCTACACGTTTGCTCATATTTCTAATGTTGCTCTTCCAGAATAAAATATTCACTTACAGTGCTTAGGAACTACCCTGAAAATGGAAGAGCTTTGAACGTGGGATCTGCAGGTCACCTGTCAGTACCAGTAGACAAATTCTCAGTTTGGTCCAGGAAGAATAATTGCTCTTAGCTCACACCGAGTGTGAAACTTTTTTTTCTGATACTGGAGCCAAGAGCAAAGCATACCATTTAAATATGTCACCACAAAGATCCCAAACTTGACTTTACTCTTTTAATAGTTCGAGTACATTTTGAATCTTTATGGTTTGTTGATCAGTTACGTGCCCATATCAAAAAGGGTGTATTTACAAGAGGTTTCATTGTCAGGCCATGCAGACATTGTAATTGCTACAGTCTCTTCACGGCCCACTAGTGTTTTGGATTGCTCTTGCAAAGCAGCCTTGGTTCAGTCCCTGCAGGCAGCAGCAGCTCACAGCCTCCGAGGCTGGCAGGGAGTGCTCGTGGTGGGAATGCTGTGTTACAGTTAGAGAAAGAGAACCGACCCCACCAGCTGCTCACAGCACTCACAGCGAGCTGTGCCCCAGGGGCTTTCCACCGGCTGCCCTGAAAAGGCTTGTTTTGATTGCAATAAGTTTAAATGTTTTAGACAAAACTGAAAGTTATGTTCACACTGACTTTAGAATTGGTTTGGCTTTTTGTGGATTTAGTTTTAACTAGCCCAAGGTATCCTAGCGTAGAGGAGATTGCAGAGTTTGAAAATAACACATTTCCTGCCCCTACATAAGTGGTTTTCTCTGTTGCACAGTAACTTACAGCATGTTTTGTGGCATGCAGAGGTTTGTGATGGAAATCTTGAGGCTGATATGAGTGCAGCATGAATGGAAAAGTCCACATGAGAAGCAGAAGCAGCAGAAGGAAGGATAAGCAAAGGTTACAGGAATCACATGGATTGCCAGCTGGGGATGTGCCTGCTGAGGTGACACGGGGCAGCGCCCCGAGTACATCCTGAGTGGTGACTCTTCTGCAGAAGACCCTGGCATACTAACAGGAGGATGACAACAAGGTCACAGTACACTGGATGTGGCCTTTCACTTCTTTTTTTTTTTCCCAGCCAGGAGACAAGCTTTTAGCCACAAGACACCCAAAAAAAGGAAACCAAAGAACATCAGCAGCTTTGTGGACTGCGGTGTAGGACATGCTGACACATGACGACTGCAGCCTTCCATTGATTATCTCTGCAGGAGGAGCTGTAAACATTTCTGGCATGGAAAATGTCTTCCTAACAAAGACTGCCTGGCAAATGGAGTTCAGAGGATTTATCTCCTCTTCGAGCTGTATATGAAATACATACAGTTTACTTCAATTATTCAAAACTGCAGATTCCAGTGTGCAAGTTCAGGAGGAATGTGTGACTGGGGCTGTGCAGTCTGTCAAACTGAGGCTGCTTACAATCACTCAGAAGAGTCCCTGGTGTCAGGGAGGGGAGAATGTGCAAAAGAACCATCCACAGAGACAGAGATATCTCAGAGGTGAACAGGAAGAAACCCAGAGCACAGACTGAAACGGAATAACATCTGTATTTATGATGATAATAACGATTATATAGAAAACGGCACAGAAGAACAATCAAGAAAGGGGGGAGAAATGCCAGTTATCTTAGCCCACAAGCACAGGAAAGCCCCACCCTTGCCACTCGCCCGGGAGCACGGAACTCTGAATTTCCTCCGATAAATGGCCTGTGCCGCGGGAGGCACTGACGGGGCCGGGGCAGCTGCCCGGGCCCTGGGGCTGAGAAGGGAAACCACTGCAAGGCTTGTTTTACCTCTGCAGCCCTCACCCCACCTTTCCTTGCTACCTGTAACCCAGCAACTGATTCCTACAAATCACTTAATCCAAGGCAATTATTTCTCTGGGGAAATGCACGCTTAATAATCACACTGGACCTTTCTGCTTACAGGCATTTCCCGTGCTGGTATTTCACCTTTGTCTGTTTGTTCCTTTTCCTTACCCCAGATACTAGCTTTTATCCTGGTTACTGGCAACAACCTCCATTTTCAATTTCTCCATTCCCTGATCCCAAAGGTCTGTTGCACAGACTACCTTCGATGAGCCCAGGGTGCAAGGTGCTCCCCCTCTGCTCACTTCACTTACTGCTACCTTGACTGACTCAGGCTGGGGGGCCTGAGGACCCCACCAGCTCCAGCACAGCTGCTTTCTGATGGGTGTTAGTGTCACAACACTGAAAATTAAACTCTCAGAAATGAAAGGGTTCTATTTGTTAAAAGGAAACACACATCAGCATGATGTTTTCCTTGGGATGTTAAGTAAAGAAAATCACCACTTATAAGTTAAATCCTTGCTGCAAAAGTCTGGATTCCTTTAAACTCCAAAGCACAATGTTCTTGCAGCAAAATAACTCTAACAAATGACCATTCATGTAATTCCATCTATTTCTGCTCCAGCTGTGTATTAATTAAATTATTCTGGGGGGATGCTTAGAGGGGCTTTACAGCCCGTGAAAATGGGCGGAAGTGGTATTCAAGCTGGGAACAATTGCACAGGAGCCATGCTATAGCAAGAGGGGCTTTGGGATTAGAGGTGATTGTGTTCTTGCTCTTTTCCTGACATAATCAGGACAAACACCAGGCTCAGAGTAACTAGGAGGGCTGCTAAGGGGGGTCCAGGCTCTCCCCACATTGCTTGTCCTGGGGTGTGACCCCTGTCCCATGGCACAGAAGTGCTGTGCCCTCCAGCCTTGCCAGGGCTGTGCTCAGCCCCAAGGCATCTCACCAGCAATGCTGGCATTGATTTGCCTTTGGGCACCTGAAATGTAGTCTGCAGAGCACACTTGGTTTATAACTTTTGGAGTGTCCCTTACCCAAGTGTTTCTGCTCCTTCTCATCCCTAAAATATTAAGCATCTAGAAGACAGAGAGGAAAATGACATTTAGGATCAATCTTATGCACAAACCTAGTATTGTTTGTGTGAATAAGATGGAGTGTGAGTCAAAGGATTAATTGAAAGCCCAGTGATCTCGAGAGAGCTTACCATAACTTTTGGATCAGACATAAGCAAAGGTGAAGAATTAGGAATCCTATTAGAGATTGATTTTGTGCCATATTTTGTATTCTAATTAGTGCTGGAATAAAGGCAAAGAGATTTACAAGTACAGAGTGGTTAGGCAAGGGCTGTTCTTTATTTAGAAAGCTTGAGGTTTCTCAGTGAAGATTACTCCTTTCTGAATTATCCTTTAAACTCTAACTCTTTTCCTAAGAGAAGAGATTTAGTTAGAGTTTGAGTGCACATTCCACAGTAAGATAGGGCTTCAGGAAGTCCTTGCATGTCAGCAGTGCCAACGTGTCTTCAGACCAGTGTTACACATCAGAAGACTGGCACACAGGAATGAGTCCTTGTCAAATGAGCAGGTTATTACAAAATGAAAGTGCACAATTTCACCAGAGTACTTATTTAAAGATCATTTATTTTGGAAACAAGCAGAAGTGGTTTACATGAAATTGTTACTTCCTCTCTTAGATCATCTTTTGAGCAAAGAGAAACAGTGATTTAAAAGTCAGCCAGAATTTTGCAAGAGGAACCAGTAGTGCTCAATGACTGGTGCTAATGATGAAGAATCCAACACTTTTTTTAGTACAAGTGTTGCTGCTGCCCTTCGGGATTGAGAAGTGGGTACCCACGCTGCTGTTCCCCCTCAGTGGTGATGTGACAAGGCTCAGGTAAAAGAAGGAAACAGATATATAGTTGGGACAGTAGTGAAAGAGGTGATAAAGGCTTCCAGCCTTCATATATTTGCTTTATATCCCTTTCCAAACAGTTGCCCCAGCCCTGCTTTACACACCCCCTCTGCCTGGAGGCAGCAGGAGCCTGGGTCTGGCTGGGCCACACACGGTGGGAACACTGAGACAGTGTTACAGCACTTTCCTCACACAACGAGGGAATTAATTGGGCTAAACCATCATCAGAACTAAGTTCCACATCTTCCTACTTGAATTCCTTTACACGCAAACTTCTTGATCAGCATTTGAAGCTTCCCAGTGCTGGAATTATCTCCGTGTCTGTGTTCTAAGAGCAGGCCCTGATGGGAACGTTTCTGTCACCCCGGTCAGGACCAGCTGGGCTGCACTGTGAGGAGCTGTGCACACACCTCTTCAGCTCCTTGTTTCCTGAGTTTGGCTTTCCAGAGAACACTGCAGTGTCACTGGACACCATAACTGTGTCAAGGGTGTTCAGGACA